TGCTAAACCCATTAATAAGTTGCATTGTGATGCATGTAACAACCTCTTTCTAATATAGTATATGCCTAGTTGTGTTACACGTACTGGCCACATGACATCCATGATTTGATAAGTAAATAAATTTATGATGTATCTGCATATTCTCTAATTATATGTATCTCCCTTGTTCATGTTTAAATAAAATTGCTCTTGACATATATTTGTTTTAAATATAATAAATCTAGATTGGCATGTATCATGTAAGAGCCTACAATGCTAGGGGCCCACAACAAGTTGTTGTCTCATTGCTTGCCGGCACGCCCCTGCTTTTACTCTGTCTAACATCAGACAATTTTACTATTCCAGGGGAGAGTACAAACAATGGGCTAATCTAAAGCTTCACAGCTTACTTTTATTTATTTATTTAGCTTCGCCTATAATTACACAATCAAACAATACGTACACACAACCATTTCTGTCCAACCCCAAAACGACCAAACTTCAGCGCCCCTGTCTATGTTTCAACATGATAGTAAAACAAAAACATACACCCTTGACCGCTAACCTAGGACGGTTTAATTTTACAATTATATTCATTTTAGAATGGCTTGATTTTTATGAGCCCAACATGACTTGGCATAGACCTATAGACAAAACATATCGAAACACAGCAAATACGCCCAGCCTCCTCGTTTCAAGGTTGGACAAAAAGGTGACAACAACAAAAAGGCGGGGTCACCACAACAGCTTAAAACCAATTACTTTGGGCCCTTGGATACAGAAAACACACAGCTAATATATAAATTGAAACTGATAATTGGTAGTGTACATGTACTAATAGCAACACGTTAATGGTTGCACGAGTTTTCGTGATGTGTTGCATTTTAAGCAGACTGTTCTCCACGTTCTGGCATCGTCTACATCATAGGATGTCTTGGCAGCGTTGTGGTAGTAGTCCGGCAACAATGTTCTAAATCGTACCAGTGAGAGATCTTTTTGCCTTAGATTTTCTGGCAGAGAGTTGTAAGATCTTATTACTCTGATGAAGTAAGAGCGTTGGTATGTCAATGTTACAATTAATATGTACCCACCATTGAAAGACTTTTGGGTGGTTAATGTAACAATTAATAGCAAAACATGCAGGGATGGATTTACTGGGTGGGAGGGTACACATCCCCCTCCCTAGCCCTGGCCAGGGGGTATGTGTGTGCTATTTTTCATGATAAAGCAAAAAATATTAGAGACAAAATGAGATATTGTACACAGTACACTTGTACCACATGGAGGTGTTTTGCTAAATTGTCAAAATACTGCTGTTGCTGTATGTTAATGGCGGGCTGCACACATGACGACACAACTCGAGTCACTCAACACCAGAGCTGGCAGAGCACCCCCCTACCAGATCATGCTGGATCCATCCCTGAAAACACGTCTATCACCGGGAAGTTTCGTCAGTGACTGTTTGTATGGTTATAGGGAAATTTGCCTTGCAAAATGGATTTTACCCATGTAAATATTTTGTCTGTGAACTTTGGCAAGCAAAATGGAATGTATGTAATGCCTCCATTGGTTAATTAACAAATCCAAGGCAAATGTTATTAAGACAGGTCTTCATACATGTTGCACCACATGGAAAACTATTAGATTCTTATTAAATTCCAGTTGTTCTTTCCCTTATGTCTACATTATTCACACCCATATATAAAACAAGGCCACTGATTTAAGAAAGCTTTTGCTATTTTCGCCACATCTGAGACACTCAAGTTTGAAAACTTTGTCTTTGTCCAAGGGATAAATTGCACAGTGTATTCCACAATAAGAAAGCTATTTGTTTAAGACTTTTATTAATGATTTCCTTCCATACAAGCGTATTAAAACAAGGCAAGAGGTGTTTATATATTTAATACGCAGGCACAGTCACAGATGTCAACAGTTGAATTTACATTTATATATTGACAATTTTCGATCGTTCCTTTTCGTGTTACAATTTCGACTAAATCACTGCACTTTCAGCTTATTATGACTGATATAAAATGTCGTCAACAATTTGAATAGAAATTTGTATATATCGACGATAAACTTTCAATTGAAACCTTGTCTTGACAAATGTCTTGACATGAATCGACGACAACGTGAATTCACTGCTCTGCAGTCACTCGTCTCTAAACAATCCCAGTAAATCGCTGCGTCGGCTTTCGATAACGTTCTCAGCTCCTTAGTCAAAGTTCCCTTTGTATTTGCAATGTTGAAGAGCAGGATTATTCTTAATTTTACTGTTTTACTCGTCTTGTAAGCCATCGTGTTGAAAACAAAATTTTCTTCACTCCTTGCCGTAAGCCCTTCCTACTCCCTCTAGGTTTGAGTTTGTCGAAATTTGCATGCGCGAGCCAGTATGCGCAGTGCAAATTTTTGTGTCGATTTATGGCAGGCATCTCACCAAACTTTTTCCCACCACCCGATTCGTCTGGTGAGATGCCTGCGGAGGAGGCTACCCCATCCCCCCTGAAACCAAATTTTTACTATAAATACGTCACAAACTGTTTACTTTTTCAACCAATTGAATCACATAAATTTGTTGAAAGTATGACGAAATGAAATAACCTCTAGCATCCCGCATGGAGGCAACAAAATTTTCGTCAGAGCATGAAATGTTTGTGCAAATTTCACAGCTTTCTTGCAGTCTTAACAACAAAATTTATGTGGGGTATATAGAAAAATTATCAGAGTTCAATGTGGTATAATTTCTTATCATGTTTTATTTACGTGTGCGAAGTATTTTGCATTTTGCCGAAGTCATATATTCGTCAGTTGAGATATAGTTGCCAACCTTAGGTATATTCTATACATAGTCTAGGACCTGTATATGAGCTTGTATGCATTTCATTTAGGACAGATAATCTCAACTGTCTTAGGGCAAGTTGGCCATGACGGTCGACATGGTAACGCTGCCCGAACCCCAATCCGGGCGAAACGTTCGAAACTGACCACACCCAAAAACGACGCTTTCGCCATAGTGCTATCTACCAAGCCATAAAAGGTTTGGCTATTCTGAGGTGCTTATATGGTTCAGAGATGGTGCTTTTAGGGATGGTCATTGGTAAGTGTGAAATGCCTAGCACTGGTATTTCACAAGAAAATGACCATGCAATACTCATGGTCAAACGTCAATTTATGACTTACAAATTCAGATAAACAGCAGTGGACCTACATTTCCTTTTTTCCTAAATCTTATTTATAGAAACATAATTGGTACTTATTTAAGCATATTATCACTGCTTTGCTGTAAAATAGTTAATACTTTGTTACCGAAATAATAATTTGAAATGTACCTACCTCCTGCAAATGGACGTATTTGGCCAAATTCTCCAATTTACTCCGCTGTTTATCGCCAATCTCGTTGAAATCTTTCCAAATATGTATGGCAGGTCAGACATAATGGTATCAAGCACATTTTAAACAATATGTTTGCGATGTTACTCTGAGTGCGCATTCACACCGGGCGAGCTTGTAAAATATGCCCGGCCACGGTGGGATTCGAACCTACGACCTTTGGAATACTAGCCTAATGCTCTTCCAACTGAGCTACGTGGTCAGGACGGTTCGAGTAAGTGATATTTCGGAACAGTATCTAGTTCCTTTAGTACCAATGTCTTTTAGTAATTGGACTGGTATTCCAAAGGTCGTAGGTTCGAATCCCACCGGGAAATTCTTGTTTGAAGAAAGTTTTCACAACAAATCACTAGTTTTAAAGGTTTAATCACTCGAAATACAAAGTTACTTTTCTCTCAGAATCACCGTTTCAATATAATCCCATTGCATGCAACCCCCCGCGTCATATCATGCATAATTTAACATAATTAATATAAATAGAGTATCTTATCTTTCGGACACACTCCCCCATGTTATATTCTTGAAATGATATACATGTTACTTAACGTTCTATAACCTATAAGAATCCTTAGAAGTTCATTAAAGGTTTATAACAAAGTTCCATATTGTTCATAACAAAAAGTTCCATATTGTTCATAACAAAGTTCGATATTGTTTACCTAATCTTCCTCACTCGCAATTTGTCGAATTCTCTCCCTTGCTTCAGTAGCAGCTGCTTTCGTGGTTCTCGGGCGGTATTCTGGGGCGTTTGGGTTAAGGTGATGACACGGTTCACGATCACAGGAAAGTTCGAGGGGAAATAACTGTTGAACAGCACGTTCTAATGTACCTTTTCCAGTCTTCAACACAGCTCCCCGTGCAACATTGTCTTTTCCATGTATCATTCGGGTTACAACAGCTATTCTCCAACGGTTCCGTGGTTGATCCTCATCTCGCACAACAACTACGTCACCAACCTTTGGACACGACTGGTCATTCTGTCGTCCCAAATTCCGATGTTGTTCACGGAGGCTTCTCACATATTTCCGACTCCATCTCTTCCACATCGACAGTTTGCACCTCTTCAGAACCTTTGCCCGTTTCTTCAGGTCCTTGCATTCAATTTGATACGTCTCCATCTCTGGCAGGTGGCAAGGATTAACTTGGAGCAACGAATTTGGTGTGAGGACTGGTTGTTGGACGTCATCTTCCATGTATGTGAGTGGACGATTGTTCAACGCCACCTCTATGTCCAAAACTACTTCTTCTAGCTCCGACCATTTGAGCGCACCATTCCCAATTGACTTGTAGAATGCTCTCTTAAACAAACCGATTAGCCGCTCAAACTGCCCCCCCCCCCACCACCAGGGAGCGCGGCTCAGATTGAATTGCCATTTGATCTCCAGCTTCGCGAGATAGTTATTAAACTGCTTATCCTTTCTCGCCTTCTGTAACCACTTTGCCGCTGCCTTGAATGTCGTTCCATTGTCTGAATAAACTAGTTCCGGTCTCCCTCTTCTCGCAATAAATTTCTTAAAACACATGATGAAATCCTCCGTCTCTAATGATCTTACCAACTCCAGATGCACGGCTCTGGTTAAGCTACATGCAAATAGTGCTAGATAAGCTTTCTTCTCTTTCTTGCCCTTGACTTGGTACTTAATTGGTCCTGCAAAATCTACGCCTAACACTTGGAAAGGTGCAGTTCCTTGTGTTCTCGTACTTGGGAGTATTCCCGGTGGTGGTGTTTGGAACGCTTTCGCCTGGAATCGTTTGCAACCATAGCACTTCGATCTTATTTTCTTGACCAGCTGGCGCAATCGCGGAACGCA